CAGCGCATGTATGATTACGAATCACAACGAATGTTTCGTTTCATTTACCACATTTAGTTTAAAATAACATAAATAATTTTAAAACAAAAACAAAAACAACTTAGTGTAGGAAATTTGTGTCCTTGCATGTTTTAAAAAAAGGTTAAATATACAAATTTGTGTCCTTGCAGGTTTTAAAAAAAGGTTAAATATACAAATTTGTGTCCTTGCAGGTTTCAACCTCACATCTAAAAGGACTTTTTCCGTATTCCATAAACATATTTATATGCATTGAATTTTGGTACAGGAATATATTTAGAATGATGTGGTGAATCTCTGTAATTTGAAAATAATATTATGTAAAATAAGTTGAGGTATGGTGTCGGGTTGATGGGGGTGAATTTGTATAATTTTTTTTTACATAAATATATTTAGAATGATGGGGTGAATATGTATAATTTGCATAATTTACAGGATTCAAATTGTAAAATTTAATAATTTGAAAAAAAACATAACAAAAAAGAAAATTCACAATTAGGAGTGATTTGGGATGTCCTAAATAAGTGCACTTTTTGACTTTTTATAAAAAGATATGTAGAAAAGTAGAGAGGAGATGTTGATTGATGTGACCCAAAAAAGATAAAAAGATAGACTAAAATAGTGTCAACAGATTATCTTACAATTGCTATATTTCGTAATTCAACATGAAAAAAAGTAATATGTTTATTTATATATATTTTTTCATATTTTATGTCAATAAAAATTGGAGTATTTATACACAAGTCTTAATTTATGAACTTATACTCTATTGAGTCATAATTAAGATTTTTTAGATCATCAAGTTCCATTAAATTTTTAATAGCCAGAATTGCCTTTCAAATAATGATTGTTCATCATTTATGATTATGTATAAATGAACATAATGATTTGACATTTATTTTGATTTTCAAAACTTTAAAATATCAACTTTCAAATTGAAAAAATTACAAACAAAAAAAAAAAATTGTTTTGAAAAAATTGAAAGCTTAATTATTTTTTTGTACAAAACAGAAAATTTTGTGTTTATAAAGGAGTATGATGATAGAACATTGATGTGCAAAACTGACCAAAAAAAACTTTAAAAATAAAAAATTGATAATGTTCTCAGTTTTAAAACTAGAAAAAATTGTTAATGTTTTCAGTTTTATTAGATAGTTGAATCAAACTAATAAGTAAAATAGCAAAAACCTTTAAACTGATGCTTTGTTTTTTATTTTTCAGTTAACAAAGCAATTATCTGAAATATTACTATACAAAATTGATAACGTTATTAGTTTTAAAAATTAAAAAAAATGATAATATTCTCAGTTTATTAAATAAGAATTATTAATTCAAAAAATCTTAAATTGGACCTGAACTACCATAACATTTATAAATATGATTTTTAAATAATTAACTCATAAAAGTTAATGTAATAATTTATATATATTTTTATTTTTTTATTAGTATATAATTCGCCTCCACTATGATAAAATTTTGGATCCTATACGTAATATTGCTCATATGTATTTTAAATTTTTGATGACCAAATCAGATTAATTGTACAGAAACTATTACCATTGAACACAGCACTTCCTGAAGGTTTACTCAACTTTAGCTACCCCCACTACTAGGTGGATGGGCACATCAACCCAACAAGATACCTCAACTTATGCAAATAATGTTGTTTTTTTAATAAATATTTACAATCGTGACTTGTTATATGGTAACATTGACCAATAAGACTAACTAAATAATTAAAATAGGATTGATATTATCTCTTAATTTACTGATCAAGTGTTTGTGATTTATCCTCACTTAAATTAAGGTATTTATACACAAATTTTAATTTATGAATTTATATTTCATTAAGTCTTAATCAAGATTTTTTAAAACTTTCAGGTCTCATTTGATATTGATGGGCATCCAAGAGAGCCCAGCTCACGGTTTGGGTAATACAGGACCAGGACTAACAACATAATAGGCACTCAAGAGGGTCCGGCCCACGACTTAAGACCCAGCCCACAGATTAGATATTAAAACCCAGTAACCTTGAGAAATCAATGATAGACCAGGATTAATAGCATTCAAACACCTGTTGAGTAGGGAATTAGCCATGTAGGCAGATAAAGATCCTGCAAAATTATTGCACCCGCACAACAGCCATTAATGAGGCGCTGGTATATTAAATGTGACAACCCTTTCACGTCGGAGGAGGCAGACTCACCATGAACGATGTGAGTTAGAATATAGACTTTTGACCAACAAGACAGTCTGGAAGGGATAAGGAAATGATGAGTAAATGATATAAGGAAACCTTCGAGATACGTTAAATGTTAAGTTCTTCCTTCGTCTCTTCTATCTATCTATAATCACTCTCTTCTAAACCTAATTTGATCGTCGGAGAGTCTGCCGGAGAATCTCTTTCCCCTCCGGACCTTTTTGCAGGCTCATCTGGGAAACACTGAGGCCAGTAGACCCGTTGGGAGCGTGAATCAGCCTGACCCGTCCACCGACTAGAATACCTTTTTGCAGGCTCATCTGGGAAACACTGAGGCCAGCAGACCCGTTGGGAGCTTGAATCAGCCTGACCCGTCCACTGGCTAGAATCGTTGCATTATCACCATTAAATTTTTAATAGTCGGAATTGCCCTTTAAACAATGATTTTTTATCATTTATGATTATTTATAAAGGAGCATGATGATTTGATATTTATTTTAATTTTCAAAACTTTAAAACATTAACTTTCAAATTAAAAAAACTAAAAAAAAATAAAATTATGTGCAATAAAAAAAAACCATGTTTTTTTTTTTGAAAAAATTGAATTTTTTTTTATGTAAAATTGAAAATTTTGTGTTTATAAATGAACATGATGATGGAATATTGATGTGCAAAACTGAAAAAATGAAAAAAAATGATAATGTCTTAGTTTTAAAACTAGAAAAAAAAAACTGATAATGTTTTCGTTTTATTGGATAGTTGAATAAAACTAATAAGTAGAAAGGCAAAAATGTTTAATCTCATGCTCTGTTTTTTTCATCAGTTAGTAAAACAATTATTTGGAACATTATTATGCAAAATTGATAATATTCTTAGTTTTAAAAATGAAAAATGTCTAAGACCCCCTTTTTTCCTACCCCCTTTGACCCTCCTCTCTCTCTCATTGGTTGGATTTTCTTTTTCTTTTTTTTGTTTCCCTTATCCTCCAATCACAACTTGCTACATGTGTGTGGAGGGGTGGTGGGGGTGGTGATTGGAGGGGGTTTCCATCACTCCTCTTTAAAAATAGAGAAAAACTGATAATATTTTTAGTTTTACTAAATATGACTTATTGATTCAAAAAATCTTAAATATGACTTGAGTTACCATAATATTTGAAAATATGACTTTTAGGTAATTAACTTTTTAAAATATTAATTAGTTAGTGATATTATAAGACAATGTGCGTTGTCACTGTTGCACGGAATATGAATTTATCTATTTTGATACTAGAATATATATATATATATATATACCCTAAAAGTGAATTATATGATACAAATTTAAAGCTTATTATAATATGGTTGTTTGAGAAGCTGTCTATTTTAATTTTTGACTATTTTAATATACTAAAATAATTGTGTTTAGAAAGTTGATTGAATTTTGTTTGTTGTTAGATATGACATTTGTGAGAAAAAAAATAAAATAATTATTGATTTGACGTAAGATTTTGTCTTATTATTTATTTTAATTTATTTTGTCTTTTAATGTTATTTTAGTCCAAAAAACCTAAAAAATCTCTTCCTATATATTCCACACAAGTAGTGCTACTCTAGCCAAAAATTAGATCTATTTTCAAAACTATGACACTTTATTAAAACATTTAAGGTAATTTTTTTTCTCATTTTTATTTAATAATCATTCAATCATCTATTTTACACGTTATTAAAGGGTTGTTTGGAATGTCTTAAATAAGTGCACTTTTTAACTTTTTAAACTAAAAAGTTAAGGAAAAAAAATATGATTGTTTGGGTTAACTTGTTGACTTTTTATAAAAAAATTTGTAATAAAAAATTGTAAAAATTAGTTTGTAGAAGAAAATTAGGATTGAGAGTTGTGCAGCCGTAATTGTTAATTTTTGGACTTTTGGTAAATAGTGATAACTTAACTTTTTGAGTAATTTTTTGACTTTTTGATTTTTTTTTCAACTTGCCAAACTTGGCCTAAGTCTTAAGAATAAATTAGAATGTGAGTTTCTAACTTTTTAATTTTTTGAGTAATTTTTTGACTTTTTGATTTTTTTTTCAACTTGCCAAACTTGGCCTAAGTCTTAAGAATAAATTAGAATGTGAGTTTCTATATTATTTTTTCAGTGGGATTACATACACCAATTAATATACTAACTAGTGTATCAACACTAGTTATGACATTATTATCGACACCACTCATTAATCACAATACAAATACTAAAAATTTCTTAAATTATGTCACATCATCAATTGATACACTAGTTAATATACTAATTAGTATATACAACATTATTCTTATTTTTTGCATTCCTTTTTGGTAATAGGCCTTGTTTGGCAAAATTTATAAAAAGATAAAATAGGTCAAAATAATCAATAAGACAAAATATCAGATCAAATTCATAATTATTTTACTCTCTTTTTTTTCCTACAAACATCACATTCAGTTACAAAAAAGTTCAATCATTTTCCTAAATATAAAAATTTTAATATATTGAAATAATTAAAAAATAAAATAACTTCCTAAAATAACAACGGACCAAACACTCCCTATACATTAATATTGATTTATCCTGAGCTGTTTGTGCACCACACCGAGGCGTTGAATTCGCAAGAAGTGGCCCTCTTTTTGTCCATATACAAGCATTAGTGAGAAGAGTGGGCAAGTATTGTCTATTCAAACATTTTTTTTTTGTGGCGTTGACTAAATGCCTAAATTATTACTAGTTTCTATATGGGTATGGTCTATATAATATTGCGGCCTCTCCTATGCCGCTATTAACCCAGATAGCAACGCTACTCTCAACTCTATCTCTGTTTCTCTCTTATCTCTTTTTATGAGCTTGCCTTCTTATACCCACCCCTCTCAAATGCCCCTACTCTCTATCTAGCTCTATCTACCTTGTACTTGGTTCTTCAAATTCTTGTTTGTTTTTTCTCTTCTTTTTCACTTTTCATAACCTCTCTAATTAGTCTAGCCTGTAGTCTGTCTATAAAGTTTCATGTTTTTCAAGTTCATTGAGATATGATTAGTAATACAGAAAAACCATGGTTGAGGTCTATGTTAAATTTGTCTTATGATAGAGGTTGATACAAACCTAAAACTCCACCTTTTCTTTCTTCCTTTGGAAACCCAGTTTTCTCTTTCTTTGATCTGATTGTCTGACAGTCTGCACGTAAAGATGGAGAGTGCGAAGGTTCAGACGAAAAAGAATTTGTTCGTCAAGACATGGGAACGATGTCGATCAATACCAGGAGGCCGCGAGAAAAAATCTCCATCAAAGCCGTCAAGTATTTTCTCGAAAAGCAAGTCATGTCACTACACCACAACAAAATCATCATCAAAAGACGACAATCAGCGAAACACGAAGAGCCGCCAAGTGGCTCCAGAAGGCTGCTTCTCGGTCTACGTGGGGCCGGAGAAGCAGAGGTTCGTGATCAAGACAAAGTTTGCAAATCACCCACTATTCAGAATGTTGCTTGAAGATGCAGAAATGGAATATGGGTACAACAGTGAAGGTCCTCTATTGCTGCCATGTGAGGTTGATCTTTTTTACAAGGTTTTGGCAGAGATGGATAGCAAAGAGATTGTGCCCAGTTGTGGGTTTGCGTATGGATCATGTAGCCCTTTCAATCCGTCTCGGCGTCTGGGTAATAACAATAACATGCGTAAGGTTTATGGTTCTTATGGGCTTCTCACCCCATCCAGATTGCTCAAGATGAATCATTTTTAACTGTTAATTTTATAGCATCAAAGTCAGTTTGTAATATGGTTTTGGGTATATATATATATATATATAGTTTGTGTGCTGTTGAAATAGTAAAGAAATTGTTTATTGGATCTAACATTATGGGTTCAAGCCCCCATTAACTTAATTATGCAATGAGTAATATTAATTTTTATCAATTTTTTTATCTAATATCTTATATGGGTGTGGGAATTACATTATGTGGGTCTCGTGTGGGTTCCACACCCATATAAGACATTTGATAAAAAATTTAATAAAACTTTTGAGATTTCTAACATTATTATTATATAATTTTTTTATCTTTTTTTTATTGATAAAAAATACAGTACAAGTAGAACAACGAAATCACATCAATAAAAAGGATGCGCATTCCTACCACAAATTATGATGTTAGAAATTGGACGCCCATGTAGTATGACCCTTAAAACCTTTTGAACCTGAACCTTTTGAACCTTATCCATGTAAGTTTGAATTTGAATTCAAAACTTATTTGGATAACCATTCAAGATATCTATATCTATCATATCAATAGATATAGATAGATGGATAGATAGATATTGGTCATATATCAGATTATATGGTTAATCTAAAGATATACGTATATGAGATATACGTTATGTGGTTTTTACCCATAACTTTTTTTCCCAGACTCTCTCTCTGACTCTCTCCCAGAAAACAACGATCATGGTTTTTACCCATAACTTTTTTTCCCAGACTCTCTCTCAGAAAACAACGATCAGGCCATTTTGTACTGTGACTTGTGTGGGTGATACTTATTTTGTAGTATCACTCCACTGCTGAGTTCGTTGACTGATCAGATTTTGGAAGCACGCGATTTACCTACGAGGTTGTGTCATTAAGGTATGATACAAATAATTTTTATCCGTTGCGTTAATTTATAATACTTTATGATTTACATTGGTATTAGAGCTTATATGAGTTTTTTCGTGCTTATTTTTTATGCATTAAAATATGTGTATTTTTTTATATAAATATATACACATTATATGCATGAAAATTAATGGAGGAGGAAGATGAAGTGCACGATTTTTTGCACTTCAACTCTCATTGATTGAGAATGCGATACACTTCTTTTTTATGTTCATTAAATGTTATTTTTAATACCATAAATGTTTTTGTTGTGAAAAATGGAGTCCAACAGTACAAAAATCGAACCAGAAAACACCCTGGAAGGCGGAGCGTGGGCCTCATGCACCACCTGACGCCGTGAGAGGCTTCCACGCGCCCCCACGCGCTATCATGCGCTCTCACGCGCTTCCACGCGCGCATCAGCGGCGCTATCCACGTGCACGCCCTTCGCGCCACACACACGCGCCGCGTGCTGAGCCGCGCCGAGCCGGGCCATTTTTCCTTGGCTAGCTTGGCTGCTGACGTTAAGGATCTGTTTGCTTTGTTTTTAAATTCTGAATCGCGTTAAATAGTCATAATTAATTCGTTATAGCTTTGTTTTAAGCGTGGTTAGTACCGTTAGACTCAGAATTATATTTTCTATCTTTTGTAAAATTTTGAAAATTTTATGAAAATAAAAATATTTTTTCTGTGTTAATAATTCATGTTTTATGCTTTAAAATGTTTCTGGTATTGCATAAATAATTTTTTGGTATTGAATTTTTTATTGTAGACTTCTGAAATGTTTTACTATTTACTGGAACAATTTTTTCAGTTTATGAGATTCTGGTATTTTTTTTTTTCTAATTTAATGTGTGTTTATTAGTTATTTAGAATTCTAGAAAATTTCAGAAAAATTTCAGAAAATTTCAGTAGTGATACAGTTTCTGTTATGGCATAATTTGAATATTGTATACAACATATTTTTTGGGTTTGTTATATGTTGCAAATAAAGAAGTATGATTAGTTATTTATTTATTTATTTGAATTCCATTATTAAATGAATATAGCATGAGTTAATTGTAAATTTACTTTAAGATGCTATTGTATGGAATTTATCATGCTTTGTATATGCCATAAGTAGTGGGAGGTTGTTCGGTTGAGAGAAATCTTTGTAGATTTACTCCCGAAAACTAATATTTTGCGCATAAATTAAATTAAATTTTGGATAATTGTCACCTGTGACGCAAGAAATGATTACGAGCATAGCGAATTTTCGATCTTGCGACTTGTGTAATATTGTCACTATTTAATTTAGATTTTTGCGGCAAAATTATATTATGCTAATCAAATTAATCCCAATGCGAATTTCTCTCTAAATTGACTTAGCTTATGGAAGTTAATTGGTTAACCTAGACTTAGTAAAGATGTTCAAATGTGAACAATGTAATCCCATTCTTTAGGAGTAGGAAATCCCTACCTCGAAGAAAATAACCCGAATGGAGAAGACAGAGATGAATACCCAAATTCCAATGTATTAACACTAAGTGAAAAGATTAGCGCTTAGAAGCTGCAAAATCTATTAACACTGAGTGAAAAGATTAGCGCTTAGTGGCTGCAAAATCTATTAACACTAAGTGAAAAGATTAGCGCTTAGAAGCTGCAAAATCTATTAGCATTGCCAACTTATCTAAGTCTGGACACTTACTGTTTTCACACTTGAGTGTGAGACATGAGGAGGGGCTTCTTTGTATGACTCCTTAGCTAGGCTAACGTTTTTGAATGACGTTTACTACTAAACGCAAACGTTGCAGCATAATAATGAAAAGGTCAAGGCTGACAAGGTTGTTATGACTCTAATCATTTGACGCATGGCTCGTGAGAGTATTGTGTTGAATTAGACTCTTTAACCTAATTCGCGTTTAAGTTACTTTAGGAGCTGTCATAGTTGATACCTTATTCTCTCCTTCTGGTGGATAGTAGAATTAATTGCAAGTAACTATGAAACGAGAAATAGATATGGCAAGAGGAGTATCGTCATCTTTTAACTAGATGCAGTAAAGTGTATGGAGAATAAAATTGACTTGAAGGTGCAGGGGATTAGCACTTACTAGTTAAATTTGCGACTTAGGCGCACTTAATATCTCCATGACATCCTTTTATGATCTAGTGAACATGAATTTGTCGTGAGTCATTACCTAGTTGGACCTAAACCTTTAAAACTTGTCTTCGAGAACTCATACATTAAGATGATTGGAATTAGTTTATGACATTGGTCATGAACCAGTGGCTTATTATACTTAATCACATTAATAAGATGATGACACGATGGTTTGAATAGGCCTTCTTGGGCCCACTCGCTTATGACATCCTGCTGTCATGTGAATGTGTAACTTTTTCGCAATGGGTGCGCACAAGTAAGTAGGAAAGCCGTAGAAGGTTATTTGTTTTGGCGCATTTAGTCCACTATGATATTTATGACTAGATATGTGTAAGGGTATGATAGCTAAGCCTAAATCTCGACACATTTATAGATTACGATACGCATCTGAGTCAAGACTATTTGATCTCCCATAAGTCAAAAGTTTTGAGATGATTTTTGACATAGCACATATGAGGTTGAGATCAATGAGATAATAGCTTTCGTGCCTTTAGTTTTGACCAACGTGGCGAGTATCTATTTGAGTTATTTTAGAAAACTCTGTGAAGAGATATAGATGCTTAGAAAATTGATTATTCCTAGTACTCAACAACACAATGGTGTAGTAGAGATAAGGAATTAAATATTGTTAATGTTAGGTGGATAATGGATAACCATCCAGGGAACCTTGAATGGTCATTTTATTAGGGAATGAGATGATTTCCCCTTTTGCAATTTTCCTGAACCATGGGTAAAGCTTGAAACAAAGGAGCATCTCCCTGGATTCAAGGTTTTCTTTCACCATCAACTGTCTGAAAGTGAGAACGAGGAAGCAAACTTCGGAAATGGCCTAGGCCAAGACGAGAGCAATTATTTGGCCAAAGTGAAAGAGAACAAAGTGGAGTTGACACTGGCTAATTGTGAAGCTAGCACCGAGTTACAGGGTTTTGAGGATGTCGCTCCTGAGTCCACAATCCAAGGTTTTTTACGTTTCTTACTAACAGTAAAGGCGTTCAAAGAATTACCTTTGTGAGCCAAGGTTCCGGATCCTATGATGTGGTTGGAAGACGAACCAGGTGAATAGAGTTTTTGGAACTCTATAAGATAGAGAATTCTAAGCATAGTGCTCTATGTAGCTTAGTTGAGAATGGAAAGAAATTTCCAATATCCTAGGGACAGTGGGAGCGATGTGCCTACTAATGGATTACTCCATTAGAGAAGAATACTCTACATTCTTAGTTGCGTGGTAGCGAATGTGAAAATTTTCCACGTCATCACTGGGTGATTGAGCGAGAAACATTCATGATTGCTCCGCAAGATGATAAAGAGCCTAGGATAATGCGTAAGGCTCTAGTCCCCTATTTTTAGAAAGTGGATCAATGTTACGCAGTTTAAGACAAAGTCTTTGAGGATTAACCATTTTTATAATTTGGTTGACTTTCTATTATGACGCAAAATTGTTATAAAGTTATGCGTAATTTGGATAGTCACTGTTGAGGCATAAGGCTCGCTAGATACCGAAAAGTTGCACCATTGAGGAAAGTGTAGACCATGAGAAGACTTCCTCCTGGGGAGTAAGGTTATTTTGACTTAGGCTATGATTGACATAAGTTCGGAACATTGATTTGTGGACATTGTGACCCAACTTTCTCGTTAGGGAATTGGATAAGTAGATCCATAAGGATTTATCTTCTGCTTTTATGGTGAAAAGTTAGGAGCGCAGAAAGGTTGCTAGTTCAAATAAATCTTTTACAGCCTAAAACAGTTATCCAAATAGTGGTTCTTAGATTTCGTCAAGCCATGATAGGCCAATGATGATCGATGAAGACCACTGAGGCATGATCAATGGTCCAAAAGAAGTTTTTCCTTACTTAGTCATTATGAGCCAGGAATTTATAAGGTTGTCGCCACCTAGGGTGGGCAGTCCTCTATTTTAGATATGATGGACATGAGTGATGTAATTTATATGCTCGGATGTACGATCCTTAGGGATTGTTTTAGGAAAATTCTCGGTTTTTCTTTGATGACTTACATAGAGAATATCCTAGAATGATTCTAGATGCAAAATTGCAAATCCATTGACTTAACTATCGGTAAAAGCCAGAGCCTTAGCTATTGAGTGAATCCTTGGATTGTCTTTGGGAGAAACAGATGACCTATATTCCTTGATCCTTTTTGTTGTGGGAGCCATAGGTATGCTATGTGGGCGTATTTGGCATGATAAGTGTTATCTTTGGTAAATGGTCAACTGAGTTATTTAGACATTAACCATGCTTATTAGATTGTGGATA